ATGAATATTCATTCCGAAAATAGTAAGTTATTGCCTTGTATTTTTTGAGCATTTTTCTTATATCGGGTTGTTTTGTGTACTAACAGGTTGGAACTTTTCCACTTTGTAGAGAAAGAACCGAGGCCAAAAGAGCCAAAGCTTAGTCCAGAGTTCGGTGGTAAGTTGCTCGTACTTGCGGACCTTGACGAGGACCTTCGCAATTATAAAAGATTAGTAGTTGACTCAAAGCTTGAAGCTGTTGGTTTATCTCCCGACGTTTCAACTTCTGCATTTGATCCGGGTAAGTGAAGTTGATCTATAATTTGGACTTCGGATTGTCTTCGAAGGTTTTTCCTGACTTTGTAAATGTCTTCGTTTGGGCAGTGTACTATCCTTTGCTCGGGTTTTTCGGTTACCGAACCCTCAAGGACGCCAAAGAATTTAGGCGTCATTTTCCGAATAAAGATCTTCAATTAAAGTTTGGTAAAAGCCGAGACTTAAGACTAACTGACGCCATGAGGAGAGATCTGGTAAGAGCATTGGTAAAGAGAACCGCTGGGCGAAAGTCGGCCGACGTCAGAGCTGGTGCGATGCCGGCGATTGATTTGAAGAGCCTAAAGTCGCATCAGGAAGATGTTTTCTCGGAGATTCCGCCGGTGATAAATGCAACAACAATAAATAAAGCCGAGCCAGAAGAGAATCAATCACGGGGTGAGATGGTTTTGGTGGAGCAAGTGCGTGCCGGGGTGCCGGTTGAAGAGCCGGAGAAGCAGCAGTCACCTTCAAAATCTCCCGAAGCTTCTCATTTGAAGAAGAAAAAGAGAAAGTTAGTCAAAATGTCTACCGAGGGTGTTTCTGCTGCTGAAGAGGGAAGGACAAAGAAAAGACACGACTCCAGTCACCGCGACAAGGGAAAAGAAGCTAACGAGTCTCCGTTGTTCGAGAAGTCGTTTTTATCTATTGATGAGGAAAGAGTGACGAACTTGAATATTCCGAAGGGAGTTGTCGAAGACTGGTTCACCACATTTTCTTCGATGAGAGTTCCTCATATGTCTTCTAGGATCAGGATGCCGGAGAATGCCAAAAATGCTGCTCGGGTCCTCTTAATGGTGTGGGACCCGAAATCTGAGGTCGGAGTGTCGTCCTTGTCAAGTGTACAAAAACTCAGTTACGCAAAGGCATGTATGGGTCGAGCCTTGGTGAGTCTTGTGGCGGCCGAGGACGATCATAGCCGGATTGCCGCACAATTGGAAAATAAAAAGCACACTTTGGCTTTACGTGATGGGACAATTGCGTCTTTAAAGGAGGAGGCGGCTAAGTCAGAGATAATTTTAAAGGGGAAGCTTGCCGACCAAGATGCTCAGCTTGAGGTTGCGCAAAAAGAGATTGCGGCATTGTCTGAGGAGAAAAAGTCCTCCCAAACCGAAGTCGAGAAACTTAAAGCGCGCCTCGCTTTTGCTGAACAGCATGTTAGAGCACTTGAGGCTAAGGCCGAGGAGGCAAATGAAAAGCTGTTGAAGGAGAGAGCCGAGCACGGTGAAACCCGCAAAAAGTATTCCGAAGTGCAAGCACTTATGGCTCGGGCCCGTGATGCTCACCAAGCCGAAATGGCCAAACTTGAAAGGGAGAAGTCGGCTTATGGTGAGTTCATGTATGGAAATGGTTTCCAAGCGGGGAAGGAATCGGTCCCCATTGGCAGAGATCAAGCCAGAGAAGGGCAAGGAGAAGCAACCGCTGAGACCGGAGTGGAAGGTGTGGCCGGCCCCGACTTGGAAATAGAGATAAACACTTGTGTGAATCTTCGATGGGTTATCGAATGGTGCAGCGCGGGATTTTACGATGTTGACGAGCTCTGCATCTTTTTGTTACATAAACTGGAGAAATACGGCTTCGACATGGAAATCAAGGGGATACACGTTGAAGCCGATGACGATGAACGAGAGCTTTGTGCCAACTTGTTGGGCCGACTGAAGAATTCACCAGGAAGACGAACCTCCCCCCGTTGACCAAAGAACGAGAAGATCTTCTTCGCCGTGCATATGTGAATATGATCCTTGAGGGCGAGAAGGAAAAAAGGAAGGAGTTGGCTGACATCTATATTGAATCACTCACCGACGTCGTCATCGAGCAAAATTTCGAGGACATGTCTCCGGAGCAAATTTGGAAAGTGGTCGAGGTTCCGGCCAGGCTCTTTTGGTTGCGTCGAGTAGAACTTTGAGAGTATTTTTTATGATTTTGTTGACGGCTTCGACCTGGCCGTTTGATTGAGGATGATATGGTGAAGAAAAAAAATGTTTGACTCCATATTCTTCACAAAGGGACTCGAGCTTCTTTCATTCGAATTGTCTGCCGTTGTCACTGATGATGGAATTCGGTACTCCGAAGCGACAGATGATTGACTTCCATACAAAATCGACAACTTTCACTTCAGTAATCGTAGCTAATGGTTCCGCTTTGGCCCATTTAGTGAAGTAATCAACGGCGACAATGGCAAACCGGACACCACCTTTTCCAGTGGGCATGGGACCGATGAGATCAATTTCCCATTTAGCGAAAGGCCAAGGACTGTAGATTGATTTGAGGACTTCGGGGAACTCATGAGCGTTAGGTGCAAAAATTTGGCACTTCGGACATTTACGTACCCATGCTGCAGCATCCGCTTTTAATGTCGACCAGTAATACCCTTGTCGTAAAATTTTATATGACAAAGCTTGAGAGTCGGGGTGAGTTCCACATATTCCTTCGTGTTACTCTTCCAGAACATAGCGGGATTCGGATTCAGTTAAGCATTTCAAAAGCAGGACCGAATATCCTTTTTTGAACAAAATTCCATTGTCCATAGTGTACCGAGCAGCTCGAATTCAGAGTGCTCGAGCTTCTTTGGGATCCTGGGGTAAGGCCCCGATTTTTAGGTATTGAACGATTGGGTCCATCCACGTCGGAGGCCTTTGAGAAGTAGTCGGGTCAATAACCAGGACTTCGTGAGAATGTGTTGATGGTTCTTCTTGTTGACCGACTTGAACATACTCTACACTTTCCATCCCGGTACTTGAAGCTAATCGAGACTGATATGGGATATTATACCCACTAGGCTGAACCGTTCTATTGACCGGTCAAGGAGGTCGTATTATGAGGAAGTCAAGGAAATCGAGCAGTTAACCAATCGACCAAGTAAAGCTATCGACCAAACTATCCTTCGACCAGATACATGATCGGGCAACCTATTCGACCTCAACAGGTCGACTACTTCGAGGACCTAACACCACGCTGTTCGGCCTAGTCATAGGCGCGTGAGGGAGCCTTTAACAGAATTCTAAAAGAATATTCACCCCATGTGCAGGAGGACACGTGTCGAGAAGACAGTGGTGGATAGCGATAACCACCTCTGACAGCCTACCCCATGTGCAGGAGGACACACGTCCAAAGAGGATTGGTGCAGACGATAGTGGCGACGGCTACCTCTGACACACGCCTTTGGTGTGTACGGACGGGCAGTTAGGGCAGACAACTCATCAAATCCGGGCAGCCCTAGGTCAGGTATCCCACCCCTATATAAAGGGGGTGAGCCTTTCTTCTTCAACACGATCATTCTATTACTTACTCTTGAGAATTGATAGTTAAGCTTCGGAGGCTC